ACACACACACACACACACATACACACATTACCAAGTTTAAAAAAAAATACCCAACCTAAGAAAAAGGCAAGTGAATTAAGCATCTATACTCACACACTACTTCTGTACACCAATGACAAGATGATTTGGGAATTACCAAAATATAAAACTAAGGCAAAAAATCCATTATCCACTTATCAATATTATTAAATTACAGATAACAAGCACCAACTTACTTTCTGGACCACTGAAAGATTTGAATCACTGTCATCTAAAATCTTTATTAGGTAGTCCCTGGTCTTTCGCAGATAATTTTTGCATTCTTCTTGTTCTTCAGGAGAAAGGGAATCATTTTCAATGTCTTCTGCTTTCCTGTGAAAAATCTATATAAACAGTGGTTTTATGAAACAATCAGACTTTTTAAACAAACAAACAAAAAAAAAACCTCTTAATTCAAGTACATTTACTTACCAGTGCAAGATTCCAGTAAGAAACAACACTTTTTATAGATTCAAAGGCAGTCAGAGCGTCTTCTATATTTCCATTAACCACATCCAATATAGCAAAAGTTATATGTGCATCTTCTTCATATTCACCAACTTCAGATGCCTAAATCATTTAGTAGTTTTTAGTCAAACTGCTTCTATTCAGCAAATCAAACCTAAATGATCTCATTAATCTTTCATGTGATATTTATGTCAGTTAGTGGATTATGAAAACAAACATATCATTTAACAGCAAGGCAATGTATTTAAGCAGTTAAAATCTCTTATTTCTTTATCAACTGCAAACAGTTAATTTGCCAGGAGATTCTCAGTTACCTGAATATCTGCACTATGAAAATGTTTAAACAAAGGATCAGTAGGTTCAGGAATACTGCTTTTCTTTTTGATTGTCTTCAACAATGGTATAACTTTCTTCCAATAATGAACACTTCTGCTTATGTATTCCCGTTGATCATAAAAAGAATTAAGACTGCTGCCCTAAAACAGGAAGACAGAAGCATACAACCATAATAAATACATATGAGCAAATCTAAATATTCATTTACAAATCCTAAGAACTAGTGAAAATTTTTAAGTAAAAATTTTTACTCATTCATTTTGAGTAACTTCCCAAATAAGAAAATAATTCATCATCACTGTAATACCAGAGAATAGTTCAATAATAAGGTTAAGCCTTTTTTTTTTTTGGTACTAACTGAACCTGCGGACACTTAATCAAATCACTGAGTCACATCCCCAGCCATTTTAATTTTTTATTTTGGGACAGGATCTCACTGAGTTGCTTATTAGGACCTCGATAAACTGCTGATGCTGGCTTTGTATTTGTAATCCTCCTGCCTCAGCCTTCAAACCACTGCTGGGATTACAGGCAAGTGTCACCATACCCTATAGACTTTTAAACACTTTTTAGTGATACTACCAAATGAGACAGCCTACTCTATTTTTAAGAATTATCATTTTTAGGTAGCCAAAATCAAACTAAAAGTGTCAAGAGTTTGGTCAAAGAACTAGCATCTACATCCACTCTTGACAGAGAAAAGACCTCAAATAATTAAAAAGAGCTATAATGCCCTTACCTACAAAGACTTAAGCTACCCAATTTACAAGCTGGATAATTTACAAGCTATCGATTTACAAGCTGGATAATAACTATCATAACTTGCCAAGCGTGGCACACACCTGTAATCCCAGCAGCTCTGGAGGCAGAGGCAGGAGGATTTTGAGTTTAAACAGCCTTATCAATTTAAAGAGGTCCTAAGCAACTCAGCGAACCCTATCTCTAAATAAAATATTAAAAAAGGCGAGGGATGTGGCTCAGTGGTAAACCATCTCTGGATACAAGCCCTGGTACAAAAAAATATATATGGGCTAAGGATATAGCTCAATTGGTATAGTGCTTGCTTCACATGCAAAAGGCCCTGGGCTCAATTCCCAGCACTGCCAACCACCACCACCCCCTCACACACAAAAATCATGACTTAATTTTTAAGTAATAACAATACTATGGGTATACTAAGTGCTTATGTTTAATTACATTAACTCATTTATAGCAAAATTTAAAAACACTTGAACGGGCACTAATATTAACAAGCTAGTATTCTTGGTTTTTCAAAACTAAGACAATGTTTGTTTTTTTTTTTTTTTAAATCTTGGGAGACATTTTTAACTTTATTTTATTTACTTATTTATTTTTATGTGGTGCTGAAGATCAAACCCAGGGCCTTGCATGTACGAGGCAAGCGCACTACTGCTGAGCCATGACTCCAGCACCAAGACAATGTTCTTTAAAAAAAAAAAAAAAGTTTATACTTTAATGTAACTCACTGTTTTCTGAAGGCATTTTGCCCAGTATACAAGCAGAGCAGGTTGAAGGCCATGTTTTTCCTGGGCTCTTAAAGTGTTAATTTCATGCTGAACCAGAAGTCGTAATTTTGCTGAAGTTCCAGGTCTAAAACAAAACTTTTATTTAATAAAATTGCTTTAAAACACATAGCTGAAAACTTAAATGTAAGTTAACTGTCATATTACAAGTTAAATATTCATGAAATGAAAGAAGTAGTTTAAAAAAAAAAAAACAACTTTGTTTTATTACTTACATTGCCTTTCTGTGAATTAGGTTACAGACTGCATCCCACCAAGATTTTTGTCTTTCTGTACAAAGTTGTTTACACACAGGAAGTGGCAAGCACAATGGCTGATAGGAGCTGCAGTGAGAATTATACTTCTCCTTTAATTGTAAGTGGCTGGTATATATTACTCCAAGTAAAAATACCTGTTTGTTTTTTTTTTAAAAAAAAAAAACAAATTAATTTCCATTAGGAAAAAATTAAACAAAACTTAAAATATTTAATTTGTTAAATTCTTTGCTTACTTCAAGATCTAAAAGACATATTGATTCAGGTGCATTTGTTTCAAGTCGTGAGGTTTCTTGAGGCAAATGATGAAAAAGCTGTTTCAGCCATTTTCGAATTGCAGGTAAAGCAGGCAGTGAATTCCATTGCAAGCCAAGCCAAGTAAGGTGCTGAAGACTACCATTGTGTGCTCGAATAGCACCTGAAAAAAAAGGAAAAAAGAAATGGCTTGAGTTTTGGAAATTCTATTTAGGCCATTAGTTTCACAACTAATTTAACAACTCATGTAAAATGTATCTTAAATACAAACTGCTTTTCTGTATCAGAGATGGTGGGGAAATATGTCCTCAGCAAAATCTCATGATCTTCATCAAATGCATTCATACTTTATAACTAAAAATTTTAATAAACCAGTTGTGAATGAGGAAGTTCCCAGGCTAAGAAAATCAGACCTGCCATAAACAATAAAGCAAAGTCTACTGACAGAGGCCAAAGAATGCCAATCTAATCAATAATCTTAAAACTACATATTTCCCCTCCAATAAAGAATTATTACAGGACTGGGGATGTGGCTCAAGCAGTAGCATGCTTGCCTGGCATCTGTGCGGCCAGGGTTCAATCCTCAGCACCACAAACAAACAAAGATGTTATGTCCGCCAAAAACTAACTAAATAAATAAATTCTCTCTCTCTCTCTCAAAAAAAAAAAAAAAAGAATTATTACAATGAGTACTACTATATTCATCCAGTAGTGTAGTAAAGAGATCTTTTCTTCTACAAGAAATTCACTACTGGGGCTGGGTTTTGGCTCAGGGGCAAAACGCTCGCCTAGCATCTATGAGGCGCTGGGTTTGATCTTCAGCACCACATAGAATAAATACATAAAAGAAAAGTATTGTGTCCAACTACAACTAAAAAAATATTTTAAAAAAAAAGAAATTCAATACTAAAAGTTGATGGGCTTCTAAAAGAACGGAGATATAGCGTTTTGGCAATTTATGAGACTTAAAGATGGTCATCTTTTTGTCTCAGAAATTTTGTTTTTAGAAATTTCTATGGAAATAATTTAAAATGCAGACACTTTAAAGTAATCATAACAGCATTATTTTCAAAAGTAAAAATAAACTGGAGGTAACTCAGATGCCCAACAATACAAAGTATTAAGCAAACTAAAACTCATAAAAGATTATGCTGCCATTAAAAATATTAAAGTTTTAATATTAGATACTATGGGAAAAAATTCATGAAATAGGCAACACAAGTAGCATATGTAAACTATTTACCCATGCCACCCATATCCATATCCTCCAACCCCTAACAACAACAACAAAAAAAAACTAAAGTCATTATTTCTGGGTAAGGATATTATGGGTAATTTACTTTCCTCCTAATATATAAAGAATAAGATGCAGAAGATTGTCTATGAAAGATAAAACTCACCAACATCATATCTAGCCAAATCACCAGGCTCTGGAGTTTGTACATCAATGTTTCCAATATCATCACTACCAAGCAAAGATCTCTCCTTAGGTGATTGACTAGAAAACAGAGCATCATACAGGGCAGACTGTCCACTTTTATTGGCAAAAGACTCCACAACCTCCTTTAAAAAATCTTGCTTGCCACAACTTAAGTTCAGCAGCATGTGCCCTGAAAAACAAATTAAGTTATTTTCACCATTTTATGACGAATAGCATGCTATATTTACTCAAAGATCTCAATGTTTCATTCATATACCCAAGGAGGAAATAAAACAGTTATCTCAGATCTCACCTTCCAACCCAAAACAATAGCAGGACAATAAAAAGGTTGCTTATGTAGAAAATGAACAGTTAAAGTTTAATAAATAGTGTCTACATAAAGAATAAAAGGAAAAAAAAAGAAATGTGTGTAGAAAATACCCAAAGTATTTGCACTTTAGATAAAAAGTACAGGAATTAAGTGGCCACAGCACAAGAAGTAGGGCCAAGCTCTAATCCTGATTTGATATGCTGATTTCTATACCTGCTAACCCGAATCCTCCTCTTAAAATATTTTTTTTCCACGACCCAGTACCAGAAATTGTAAAGGTAAAATTTCCAAGCTGATTCTAAGCCGCAGAGCCTGAGTTAAAGTGTAAAAGACCAGGCATCCTAAAGTTTCCAAAGTGCAGAGATTGGGTTAAAAAGTAAAAGACTAGGTATTGTTAGAGTCCCTCTGCTACCCCCAAAACCTGTAATCCCTGTAGCTGTTAGGACAATACTGGAATTGCCCAGTAAATATTTCCACTGACTTTCTGGTTGTTTAATAGCTAAGGGTTCCGAGTTGCTTGGCACGTAGGCATTGCAGGACCTAAACCGATCAGTTTGAATGTATACCCCACCTAGGAGCACCAATCACTCCTGCCCTGATTGTTTCCGCCAATGTATGCACTAATCCTGACTCAGGGTTGTTGTTCAATTTTCCCAAGCCTCATGATGATTTGTTCTGATGTATGCAAAGCCCCCCACCCTCTCCAAAAAGTGTACTTAAGCTCCTCTTGACCTCTGCTCTGGGCTCTGGGCTGCTCTCCCTTCTTGAGTGAGCACAGAGTCACAGCGCGCTGGAATGGATCCCCAATAAATATCCCCTTTTGCCAATTGCATGGAGTCAGTCTCTTTGGGTGGTCTCTCCCTCCGACGTTTTGCCAGACCTTTACAAAATGTTCTTATTTCAAAAGTTCTGAGTAGAGAATCTATTTAAAAACACTCCTTGGATATATGCTGCAACATGGATTAACTGCAAAAATATGCATAGCCAAATAAGCCAGTCACCCAAAAAAAAAAAAAACACATATCACACAATTCCATGTATATGAAATATCAGAATGGGCAAATGGAAAGAGACAGAAACAGATTAATGATTGTTTATGGCTGTGAGAGTTGGAGTAAATGAGGGCAACTTCCAACAGGTATAGGGTTTCTGTATGGGGTGATGAAAATGTTCTAAAATTAACTATGATGAAAGTTGCATATTGTGGGAAGCCATTCTGACACGTGACTGGGCGGCTCTGAGGCTTTCTGGCTGTGTCGGAACTTTCCTGGCCCTTTCCTGATGAGAGAACCCGTCCGTGTGGGGGTCTGACTGACCACTGACCCCAGGGGCCCAATCACTGACCCTGACCTTGCAGCGCGGCCCCCCCATCAACCTTCATTGGATAGAATTCTCTCCTGAATTTCTTGTTCCCTAATAAAAAGCTACTCTCAGGCGTGTTCGTTCTCTCTCTCTCTCTCTCTCTCTCTCTCTCTCTCTCTCTCCTACTAGCCCTGAGTAATCCTTGCTGCCCTGCTGGGCGGTTAGAGGTGGGAACCAGAGAGGGGAGCCGTCTCGGACCTGGCAATAGAAATAAGGTAACTGAGTCTGTGTGTTTTATTTCAATCTCGCTTTTATGCCAAGAACCTCATTAATGAAACCATTGCACTGGCCGCATGGTGGAATTGGCGCCCACGAGGGGGACATTCTAGATTAGTTAGCTTGAGTGGGATCGCGCTATAAAGATAAGGATAAAAATAAAGATAAAGGAAGAAGTGACAAACTGGGTCACAAAAGTACCTGGAGATATTGAAGGAAAGAGACATTAAATTAATTAAAATGGGAAACTCAACTTCTACAGATAAGGAAATGTATCTGATTATTTTAGACAGTATAATTAATCAGAAAGGGAAACAGATAAAGAAAACTCAGTTATTACAATTCTTAAAGATTGTAGGTGAATATTGTCCTTGGTTTTGTGAACAAGAGTCTCCAGATTTACTTACTTACGACAAATTAGGAAGGAAGTTACAAAAAGTCTGTCTTTCTAACGAACTACCTGGAGGCATAGAAAATATTCAGAAAACTTCCAGGGCTCTAGAAGTTTGTCTTTTTTAATATATGGGCCAGAGTTCGTGGCCCCCTGAGGACCTCTTAAAAGGCATTCAAAGAGCTGTTAGGTCTATTCAAATGGAAAATCAGCCTGAGGCTAAGTTAATTCCCTTTCCCTTAAGCCCTTTAAAAACAAAGGCACTAGGGGCCAAGCCAAAGGTTAAAAATGTGAACTTAAACTTGCAAGATCAGGCTAGCCGCCCGCAGGGAGACTATAAAGAGCAACATCAGAGAGGAGAAACATCTGAAATCCTAGAAAGCCCTCCGGAAGAGGTAGACAATCTTCCTGGGGAGGAAAATCCGGAAGAGATTCCTAGAGGGGCTCAGAGTTCTTCTCCACCACATGGTTTAGAAACCCAATTTCAAAATGGTGATAGTACAGAGTCTGACCATGGCTCACAGTCTGAGGGAGAAGAATCAAACCCAATTTCAAAATGGCAATAGTACAGAGTCTGACCATGGCTCGAAGTCTGAGGGAGAAGAATCAAGACGTGGAAATTCAGGACTTTATTTTAACAGGCTGCGTTTAACACCGCCTGCCCAGGCTATTCGAATTCGGCCAGTACCTGCTAAAAGGACAAAATTTAACAGGTATGCTGGATTAACAATGACTTTTCTTACCCCAGTCCAGCGAGGTATTAAGAAGGCTCAAGAATTGGGGGAGGATACTAGCGGTTTTCAACTTTTTCCAGTTTTTGAGCAAGTTAATGAGCAAGATCAGAGAGTTAGAGTTCATGCTGTAATCCCATTTAAAACCATTAAGGAACTAAAAAGTGCATGTGAGACGTATGGTCCAAATTTGCCTTTTGTACAGAGCCTGATAGAAAATATTTGCTCAAACCCCTTCCTCCTAGCGATTGGATTTCTTTAGCCAGATCTTGTCTGAGCGGGGGAGATTTCTTACTTTGGAGAACTTATTGGACTGATTTTTGTACTGAACAGGCAGAAAAGAACAAAAGACAGGATAGAGAAACACCAATAGAAATGTTTCTAGGGACCGGTGATTTCGCGGATTTAGAAAGACAGTTAAACTATGATTTTGTAGAATACAATCAAATAACTGATTGTGCAAAACGTGCTTGGAGACAGATTGTCTCCAAGGACCAATCCAATTTAGTTCTTACCAAAATCAGACAGGGTGCCAGTGAAACTTATTCAGATTTCGTAGCCCTATTGTACCAGGCTGCAAACAGGTCGATCGGGGACTCGGGGGCGAGCGAGAACATTGTTAGGCAATTGGCATTTGAAAACGCAAATAAATACTGTCAGGATATTCTCAGGCCGCACCGTAAAGAAGAAACAATCTCTGAGTTTAATAGCCTGTGTTCTGACATAGATTCTACTTATTTGCAGACAGTAGCCCTAGCCGCAGCACTAAAAGAAAATTTGAGGCCACAGGATTTAAGACAAAAGTCCCACGGGAGATGGTACGTTTGTGGGAAAAATAATCATTTTGCTCGCAAGTGTCGCATGCGCGATTTTAAGTTCAGGGCTCCATCTACTGGCGATAATAGATATTGTAGGACTCAGCCCCATGATTAATTGGCTAAAGCCATCCTTAAAACTAACTACTTCTAAATTAAGTCCTTTATTTCAGATATTACAAGGAAATCCCTCTCCAACCTCTCCACGTCAGCTAACCTTAGAAGCTAAAACAGCTTTAAGGAGAGTGGAAAATGCAATTAAAAATGCACAGCTTACTAGAATTGATCCTACAGAAATAGTGTATTTATTAATATTTCTGAGTATACCCCAACAGGAGCCATATAACAAAGATTAGGAGTTATTGAGTGGATTTATTTATCCCACTCCCCTCAAAAAACATTAATTCCTTTTCATGATTCTATAGCTCAATTAGTAATTAAGGGCAGAACTAGGATATTACAATTAATTGGATCTGAGCCTGATATCATAATTATTCCATTTTCTGTTCAACAGACTAATTGGCTTTTTCAAACTTCTAGTTCATGGCAGATAGATTTTGCTGATTTTCCTGGCCAGATAGATAGCCATTATCCTCGTGATAAGATTATACAAATTGCATCATTAACGTCACTTATTTTTCCAAAGACTGTACATGCACATCCAATAGATGAAGCTTTATTGGTGTTCACAGATGGTTCTAACTCAGGTAAAGCAGATTTTTATAGTCGTGTTCACACAGAGGTAATACAAACTTCTTTTACTTCTGCCCAAAGAGCAGAGCTTCAAGCTCTGATTTGTGCCTTAGATTACTTTTCAAATGAGCCTATTAATATTTATTCTGACAGCTTATATGCAGTCGGAGTTACCAAAAATATTGAAACTTCAGTTATTGGGTATACTTCATCACAGGAGTTATTTGAATTATTTCATAATTTACAAAAGACAGTTCTATTGCGAAAGTACTCATGTTTCATAGGACACATACGTGCCCATACTAATCTTCCTGGACCTCTAGTTTCAGGTAATGACAAAATTGATAAGTTAGTAGCTTTTTGTCAACAGATGTCTTCATATGACTGTGCATTAGCTTCCCATTCCTTGCATCATCAAAATGCTTCTAGCTTACGTAAAAAATTTAATATTACCAGAGAACAAGCTCGTCAGATTGTAAGCCAATGCCCTAAGTGTGTTATTCACACTCCATCTCTGCCATCAGGGGTAAATCCCCGTGGATTAAAACCAAATCAAATATGGCAAATGGATGTAACTCATATTCCTCAATTTGGTAAGCCATGTTACGTGCATGTCATAGTGGACACATTCTAGATTTATTTTTGCCACAGCACGTATTAAGGAAAATACTCAACGTGTAATTTCTCATTGCTTAGCTTTTTCCGTTTTAGGGTGCCCTATGCAGATTAAAACAGATAATGCTCCAGCTTACATAAAGCTCTTCTTTTCAACAATTTTGCCAAGAGTTTAAAATTAATCATAAAACAGAAATTCCTTATAACCCTCAAGGTCAAGCCATTGTGGAACGAGCTCATTTATTATTAAGTTTCAATTACAAAAATTAAAAGGGGGAAATAGGGTTGTGACTCCCCAAAATAGCCTTAATCATGCCTTGTTTGTTTTAAATTTGTTAAACTGTGACGCAGAAGGTCACACTGCTGCTGAGAGACAAATGTCTCCCTCAGTAACAGGCCCTTTAGGCAGAGTTTTGTGGAAAGATTTACAGACCGGTCAGTGGAAAGGTCCAGACCCAGTGATGATGTGGGGCAGAGGTCATGCTTGTATCTTCCCAGAAGGCGCTTTCCGTCCTATTTGGGTGCCTGAATGTGCTATCAGACATGGAGGAGATAGAGCCCAGATTCAAGCGACTGAGGATCGACCCAGAGGAGCCCCTACCCAGAAGGAGGAGATATCGGAAAAGGATGAAGAAAGACCAGATTGAACCAGACGAAAAGCTGATTTCATGGAAAGACGTGAAGAAGCTAACAACCCAGGCTTCCCGAATACTTCAACACCTAGGAAAGAACAGGACCCCAGTGATGATGGTAGCAACAGTAATTGCCCTACTGGGCTGACAGGTAAAGGGGAATCAGATAGACACTTACTGGACATATTTCCCAGATCCACCCCTGGTACACCCAGCTGTGTGGACTGGAGAATCTATTCCAGTATTTACTAATGACTCATTCATGATGGGAGGATTTACAGATACTCATATTACTCCCAATCATGTAACTAGATTTAATTATTCTGGCTACAGTGCCCAATCACCTTTGTGTTGGTCACATGATAAACATGCTGGCTGTCTGAAAGTATCATTCAAAGAAAAGACTGCGATTGGTAGACCTAGACTGACAAATAATTTTATTTATGGGGACTTAAAACCTAATACTAGATCAGTAATTAAGATGGGACTTTCCCATAACAAGCCATTCATTTCTGCAAAACCTCCACAGATACCCCACTGTCCAAATAGTTCTACAATTGAGATTGGCACCTTTCCTAGATGGATGGATTGCGTAAATGCCTTTCCTGTACAACATAAGGTGTCTAAAGATAGTGGGTATACTTTAGACTGGTCTCCAAAAATTGATGAGACAATTACGAAGAAATTCTGCTATGACACCTGCAGGATTTGTTAGTAATATTTTGACTTATAGTGAAGGAGGTGTTCAAAAAGATTTGGAGTTTAATTGCTGCCTCAGAATTTTTACATTTTACAGATAAACCTTTACCAAAATTTGTCGGCAAGAACCGTAAAGAGGGATCTTGCTATGGCTTACAAGCTTGTGTCCAATCTCCTTATGTTTTAATTATTGGAAATGTAAAAGTTAAGTGGATAGATGACAGATATATTTGATACTTGTAATAAGTGCAACCTAACCAATTGTATTACTAGGTATAATGGAGGAAAAGGAGTGCTGATACTTCATCGGCCCTCTTTCGTTTTATTACCTGCTAATATTTCAGAGCCATGGTATGCTGATGCTGGTTTACAAGTCTTGCAGCAAATTCATGCCCAGCTAACAAGACCTAAACGTGCTATTGGAGTCATAATTGTTGGTGTTTTAGCGCTGGTCTCCTTTATTGCCTCAACTGTCTCTGTGTCTCTGACATTGTCTCAGAATATTCAGCATGCAAAATTTCTTAATAATTTAGCTCAAAATACTTCCAAGGCTCTGTGTAATCAAGTAAATATTGATGAAAGGATTGAAACTAAATTAAACGCCTTAGAGGGGACTGTTATAGACATAGGTAATGAACTTTCAGCCTTAAAATTTAAAGAAAGGCTTAAATGCCATGCAAATTATAAGTATGTATGTGTTACAGCTGCCAAGTACAATGCTTCTCTCTGGGATTGGGAGAAGGTTAAAAACTATTTGTTAGGTATTTGGCAAAATAGTAATAATAGCTTGGATATTCTGGAACTTCATCACCATATCCAAGACATTCAAAATAATACAGCTGATTTTTCAGATCCTTCTTCTTTGGCTAACCAAATATTGAAGGAGTTGAATGGATTCAACCCTGGAAATATTCTTAAACACTCCGCTTGGTACATTATTGGATTATTCTCTTTGCTGTTAATTCTCTTTTGTGTTGTAACCATAGGATGGCGAGTCTTCAGAACAAGAATACAGAAACTCCAGAGAGTGAATCAATGCCTCATTTTTAAGAAAAGGAAAGGGGAATATGTGGGAAGCCATCCTGACACGTGACTGGGCGGCTCCCGTTAAGAGTCTGAGGCTTTCTGGCTCTCTCTCTCCCACTAGCCCTGAGTAATCCTTGCTGCCCTGCTGGGCGGTTAGAGGTGGGAACCAGAGAGGGGAGCCGTCTCGGACCTGGCAATAGAAATAAGGTAACTCATGTTTTATTTCAATCTCACTAACTAACTTTTATGCCAAGAACCTCATTAATGAAACCATTGCGCTGGAAGCATGGTGGAGCGTATCTCTTAGACCATACTTAAAAGCACTGAAATTATACTTTGAACAGTTGAATTGTACAGTATATGAATTATATCTCAATTAAGTTGTCCAAAACCAAACCAAAGCAAAACAGACAACCACCACCCTCCTTGGTGTTAATTCTGCTGATGGTTGTTGTCTCAATAAACCTGAATGCTCATAAACAAAAAATACAATTGATTCTAACCTTGCAAAGGTAGAAGAAAAACAAAGCACAAAAAAGTGAAAAGCCACTTCAAGGACAGAATCTAATGCCCAAAAAAAAGCCCACCAAAAAACTCGGTTGTGGGATAGAGAAATACAAGTTTTTACTGAAAGCTTCAGTACAGACCAAAGCTCATGATGACTTTGATTTAATATTACTTCTTGCTCTTTACAAAGTTCCCTTGATTTTTTCCATGGGCAAATGGAAAGAGACAGAAACAGATTGTTTATGGCTGTGGGGTTGGGGTAAATGAGAGCAACTTCCAACCATTATCAAAAAAAAGTATATTATAATAGAAAGGAACATCTAACTATTTGGAATACATGTACCATTGAAATAACTGCTCCCTATGGGAGGCTGAAGTTATAGCTCAGTAGCAGAGCACTTGCCTCACATGTGTGAGGCACTGGGGTTCAATCCTGAGCACCACATAAAAATAAAGATATTTATATTCATCTACAACTAAAAATTCAAAATTTTTAGTATATTAAAAAAAATCCTCCCTCTGGTAAAACTGATGTTTCTTCATTACCCCCCTAATATACCTTGAAGTTTATGCCTTGGGAAAAAAAAAATGTATGTAGAGACATTTGTATCTACTCAAACAGCCAAAATGGGAATAAATCTATAAATTCTCAGAGCCTAAGAAAATATGAGTATATTTCTTTTTATTTTAGCTTCCTCACTATGTTCTCAGCCCTTTAAGATACAGATCCAGCCAGGCACAGTGGCACACACCTGTAATCCCACAACTCAGGAGGCTGAGGCAGGAGGATCCCAAGTTCAAAGTCAGCCTCAGTAATAGCGAGGTGCTAAGCAACTCAGTGAGACCCTGTCTCTAAATAAAATACAAAATAGGGCTAGGGATGTGGCTCAGTGGTCAAGTCCCCTGAGTTCAATCCCCAGTACCCCCCTCCAAAAAAGGATACAGATCCATATCTTCATGTTTACATCCCCTAAAGCAATATTTTATAAGCAGCTGGCATTAAATGTCTAGCAAATGAATAATCACACTTAATCCCTACACTTATTATCCTTATATGGCAAAAAGAAACAAGTAAAATTATGACAAATTGTCTCCTGAACACAAATAACATATGATGTACCCTAATTTCTTTTTAAAGTTAAATCAGTTAAAGCATTACTATTAGCCAGGCATGGGGTGCACGTCTATAATCTCAGCGGTTTAGGAGGCTGAGGCAGCAGGATCTCGAGTTCAAAGCCAGTCTCAACAACAGCAAGGCAGTAAGCAGCTTAGTGAGACTCTGTCTCTAAATAAAATACAAAATAGGGCTGTGGATATGGCTCAGTGGTTGAGTACCACTGAGTTCAATCCCCAGGACCAAAACAAAACAAAAACACACATTATTATTACCTGATTGGCTGAGACGATCATGGGCCATCATTTCCAGTAAATTCTGTCCAGTTTCTCCTTTTATTAATTTAATCTTTGGTCTCGGGACCTGGTGAATTAAAAATCTTATTTCAATGGTACTTGTATTCCAAATAGTTAGATGTTCCTTTCTATTATACTATACTTTTTTTTGATAATAAACAAACAATTAATAGGTAGAATTCACTGAAAAACATGGCAAAAAACTGAGAACAAGGGGTTTGGGGATGTGGCTCAAGTGGTAGCACGCTCGCCTGGCAAGCATGAGGCAATGGGTTCGTTTCTCAGCACCACATAAAAATAAAAAAAGATACTGTGTCCACCTAAAACTAAAAAATAAATTTTTTTTTTTAAGAACTGAGAACAAGGAATTTATAATCAGTAAGAGATACATACAAAGAGAGCTTCTAGAAAATTTCTAATAAAAGCACATTCAAGTCAGGCACAGTGGTACAGCCTGTACCCCAGAGGTTTAGGAGGCAAGGCAGAAAGACTGAAAGTTCAAAGACCATCTCAGCAACTTAGCAAGGCCCTAAGCAACTTAGTGAGACCCTATCTCAAAATAATATAAAAAAGGCTGGGCTGGGGATGTGGCTCAATGGTTAAGTGCATCTGGGTCGAATCCCCAGTACCAAAAATAGAAATAAATGAACTTTGAATATTTATATATATTAGCAAACCTCAACATTTTCATACTCAGTTTCAGTACTTAATACATTCCTCATGAATCTAAAAGCTTCTACTAAGTAGTACATAACACTGTAAGTATCAACCACATTTTATAAAAAGATCTATATATTAATTATAACATGAACTAGAGGAACCTTCTCTAGAAACTAATCTTTTTTCTCTCCTAAGCAAACAATAATAATCATCTTCTCATGCTAACCATCATTTTTTAAAAACATTTTTCAGTTGTCTATAGACCTTTATTTTATTTATTTATTTTCACGTGGTGCTGAGGATGGAACCCAGTGCCTAACATATGCTAGGCAAGCGCTCTACCACTGAGCTATAACCCCAGGCCCCTAACCATCATTTTTATAAACCAGATTTATGCTTTTTTGGAAAGACTAATTATTCCTTTTCATTTCAGAGTAAAAGAGCTCATTAAAGAAAACATTAAAATGAGAAAAGAATGTTGGGAAAGGGATTTTAGCCAGCATCCCATCATCCAAAAATATAAGGCATATTTCCTTCCTTTCTTGTTCTAGGTATAACAAAAAGTTTCATGTTTCCAAAGATAAATAAATACAGTATTATATATCATATATATTTGTTATATTTTATGTCTGCATTTTTCAATTAACATGTTAAGACAATAATCACAACCTTTTATCATACCTTAATCATATCCCCAAATTTGCTAACTTGATGGTTCTTTGTTATTTGTATCTTTTGAAACAAAAATTTACCCATATCTGAAATTGTGCCTTTATTATATGTTCTCAGAAATGGCAGAGTAAAAGGATCAAACTCTTCAAACTGGTCTTTGAGTAAACCACAGAAAAGTAGACTGTCAACAGCAATGTGTCAACATCACCTGATTCATCAAGCTCACCAGTAATATGTGTACCTTGTTATTTTCAATCAAACGAATTTTCATTTTAACTTTAATTTTACAAGTATGTTCAAATATTTTCATTAGGGCACAACTCCATATGGAAATGTCTATTATTTTTTGCCAGACTCAGAAAACTGGAAAAAACTTACCTGAAATGCTATGAGATAGCACAATGCTGCCAGCTCAGAGAGAGCTCGCCATTGCACCTCACTATGCTGACCCATCTTCAAAAGCAGAGAACCAGCATGCATGTAGAAATGTCCTTTCATTTCTAAGAAAGTAACTGACAGTTCATCATTTCCACCTACAGAGGATTTCACAGACTGAAGAGCACTATCAAACCTGCAATATTAAAATTTAAACAGTAGTCTATACCTACTGAATTGTGAATAATCATTTTCGTTTTTAATTCAAAATAAATTTAATAAAAGTTTGTCAAGCCTCATCTTCCCCAGACTCCTAATAATCCTTATTCTCTATTTTATAAGTTATGAAGCATCTAATGCTTATTTTTATCCTGCATATTTCCTATACTTTAAAAGTTAAACCTCTAGAATGACATCTATTCCGAAACAGTTATTTTCTGACCTACAATTCTTGAAAAATACAAATCAAATAAGATTAGTGATAACAGGTATTTAATAATAAACCAGGATAAAGTTGGGAAATTTATTTTCTAATAAAAATGTTTTTTCTTGATCTATATGGTTTCATTATTTAATTCAAAGTTGAAATTTCTCAAATTAGACATGCCATTTTCAAATTATGGTACACAGGATATAGCTCAGTTGGTAGAGTGCCTGCCTTGAATGCACAAGGCTATGGGTTCAATCCCCAGCAATACAAAACAACAAAAACAAAAAAGTGTGTCTCAAATTATAGTAACTGACAGACATTTGAATATCAATGCCATTACTGTATTAGATAACTAGACTTAAATAAATTATATTTCTTATAATTTGTAATCTATATCCTGATTAATGTTTCTAAAGACTAAATGCTCCTCAGAATCTTCAATTTGTAAGAAAAGCAATAGCACACACTTAAAGGTAGAGCGTAATTTATAATAAGGAAATCAGGCAATAGGGATTTCTTCTAACAAGTCTAGAAATTTCTACAGGTTCTCAAAGATCCCTTCATAGAAGCCACGTGGTTAAACTTACTTTTTAAATTATACTAAGAATTTCTTGTCTTTTTCACTCTCATTTTCTCATGTTATGTATAGCTGAGTTTTCCAAAGCTTAACAGATTGAATGACAAAGTTTATGAGAATCTACCTGTGTACCATAAAGCCATACATTTTCAGAGGTTACAAAAATGCAAAACAATAGCACTCTTCTCACTACTTTGTTTGTTCTCAGCTTTAATTTCTAATGATAAACACTGATAGAAATAAACTGAAGATCTCTGGGAGTCCCTGAAGGATGTTAAAAGGAACTAGTGGGGCTGGGGATGTGGTTCAAGTAGTAGCGCACTCTCCTTGCATGTATGAGGCACTCAGCACCACATAAAAATAAAATAAAGATATTGTGTCCACCTAAAAATAAAAAATAAATAAAATAAATAAAAGGAACTCGTGGCCAGGTGCAAGCCTGTAATCCCAGCGGCTTAAGAGGCTAAGATATGATGATCCGAGTTCAAAGCCACTTTCAGTAACTTAGTGAGATCCTGTCTTAAAATAAAAAATTTTAAAAGGGGGGCTGGGGTTGTGGCTCAGTGGTAGAGCACTTGCCTAGCATGTGTGAGGCACTGGATTCGATTCTCAGCACCACAAATATATGAATAAAAGTCCATCAATGTCTAAAAAAAATTTTTTTAAAAGGGCCAGGTATGTGGCTCAGTGATTAAGGGTCCCAGGGTTCAATCCCTAACATAAAAAAAATAAAATAATAAAGTCCCATTTATACAAAATAAAATGTAGTAAATCAGTTAGAACATTCATTTTAAGGCTTGACTCTTTGTGCCAAAACTGAATAAGGCTAGTTTTAATCAAAACTGAACTATAAGAATTCTCTAAAAATCAAAGTCAGCCCAGTTATTTGGGAAGCTAAAGGGAAGATTCAATTTTGAGGTCAACATGAGCAACTTAGCAAAAACTTGATTCAAAATTAAAAAGTGCTCAGGATGTAGTTCAGTGTACAGCATTTGCCTAGCATGCATGAAGCCCCAGTATGGCAAAAATAAATAAAAGTTATACACAACTAATTATCCCCATAAATGATGTCAAAATAATTTTCCCTCCAAGTGTTACAATGTATTAACTCTAATTCCTGCGTACATCATAGAAATTATGATGCTATGAATAAGTTTAGACTAATGGAACAATTACTACAAAAATAAAATCTATTTATGCTGAAATAGTCTCAAAGTCAATGTACCTTTCCAGTAATTCTCTACTTTCTTGAACATCTCTGGTGGAAAGTGTAAGTAGCATAAGGTTAGCATAAGCCAGAAGTAAGTCTTTATTGGTCGCTCGCCAGTCATTTTTATCAGATTCCAAACACTGTAACGACTCCAGATATTCCTATTTTGTAGGAAGAACAATATAGTGTAATTCACAAATCTTTATCAAATTTTAAGAAATTGACCATAATTTATTCTCACAAATTCCTTGGCACATTCCTTATCACATTTCTGAAAATATATTGCTTCTTAAACCTATCTTATATATCAAAATGCAAACAATGTATTTGTCATATTTATTCCGTTATAAATTGAAATGATCAAGTATACATTCAATTTTATAGTTGACCTACATAAATTAAAGAAATTTAAGTGCTAAAAGGCGATGTTTAAAGTACAAAGAAATATATGCTGTCTATATAGAAGTGTAGAGCCAGGCACAGTGGCACATGCTTGTAATTTTAGCTATTCAGGCAGCTGAGGCCGTGGGACTGAAAAGTGGAGGCAACTTGGCAAGACCCAGTCCAAAGCTTTTTGAAAAAGGAAGTGAAGAAGGGATGCCCGGGGATATAGTTCAGAAGAACCCTCCTGAGTTTAATCCCTAGTACCACAAAAAGTAAAAAAAAATGTAGAGACTTATGTTTTCACATACCGTAAGGGTCTGCACCACACACAAATTCCAGTCTAAACTTGAACGCAAAGCTATGTTCCTCTCTGCCTCATGACAGTGGGCCACAGCATCCTTCAATCTTTTATTTGATCGATACAGTTCCACTAGTCGTATATTCACATGGACATCATCAGGTCTTGTATAAAGTTCTGACTGAATCAAGTCAAAAAGTTTATTCCATCCATCTTCACCTTTACAATCTAAAAGCTGTTCCTATTTGGGGGGAGAAAAAAATTAATTCCAAGTAATAGCTGTGTGATTTTTAACAAGTCATAAGACATGCACAACATTCTATTGTTACTGGTTTCCAGGTGCCATCAAAACTACCATCCTATACACCTTATGAGTCCCTTCAAAGAATTGTTCCCAGAAGCTAAAACTTGAGAACTATATAGACAGAAACATTCAGAATTGCCACAGTAACTGTGGTTGCCTGTGCTAAAATGAGAATACTAAGACTAAACTGGGGCTGGGGATGTGGCTCAAGTGGTAGCACGCCCAGGTTCGATCCTCAGCACCACATACCAACAAAGATGTTGTGTCCGCTGAGAACTAAAAAATAAATATTAAAAAAAAAAAAAGCAGTAAGACTAAACTGCCTAATACTGCTATACAACTCAGCCATCAGGAGGAGCCTAGGCCTCCTCAGTGGATCCCCACCCTTCTCTTCAAACCACTCTGTACCTCCTAGTCTGAGTCAAGCACTTATTCTCTATCTTCATCATCTTCTCAAAGCCCTGCTTCACCTCAAGGCCTTAATTATTCAGAATACCATGTCAAAACATCCCCTAACATCTCTCTGCCATAACAGCTTTCTCTCCTAGCCTACTCACTCTCCAGTGCCACCTTCAAATCATACCCCATCCCACAATTTTTGTAATAATTCATTTGGGGCAACCAAAATAAACTACTCTTCATCCCTAACAACTGTAATTGACATCAGCAATTGAAAGATATACAAGATACACAGTAGTTAGCTCCTCAGTTCTTTAATCACCTCACATCCAATGACAGTGTTCTTCATTTCAACTTCAATCATTCATTTGCCATTGATACAGGTCCTCTAAACCTGTATTCTGTTCATACTATTCAGGCCATTCCCTTTCTTATTCTTCCTCTTCCCTGGGGACCCATGCATTCTCACTGTCACATATATATATTCCTTAGCCATGTGAGAAACTCCCTTCAGTACACTGATATCATCAAGTTTAAATTATCCATACACACACACACAGTTTACTTGTCTATAATAAGCTAAAATGCAATAACCCTTAGAATTCATTATTACTACTTTCTTATAAACCCCTTTAAGTCCCTCTATCTTTCCTTAGAGAAATCCTACCAACTGTTCACTCTGTACCTACAGACTACAAGTTGACAACTGGGTGTATGAAATATGGAATTCGGGTAATTTGATTTCAATCTTAAACCTCAAATGGGTACGACATAGAACAAAATACTATTTTACCTCTAAAGACTCATTTTCTCCATTCCCTAAATAGATCACTTTGAATCTCAACTTTCCTACATCTTCTTTCAGCTCTCATTTTCAACTAAGGACTTCAATTTATCCTTCACTGAGAAAACATGAAGCAATCATATGTAAATTCCATTTTACCTAACCTAATCTCCTCCCTGTTCCCTCTACTTAGCAAAAAAAAAAAAAAAAAAACCAAGCCCTCCATTAATTCATCTCCTCCATCAATCTCTGGATCGTTTTCACAAACTTGTACTCAGTCTCTCCATAATTGCCAAAAATAAACAAATGAGAAACAAACAAACCCAAACCCTGGCAATTGATCATATGTTTAAAAATATACAAATATATAAATATATACATACATATTTACATATTTTTAACATAACCGTATTAATCACTGTGAAATCAATTTCAAAATAAAGTCTTAAAAATTCTATCATAAATGTGTTACGTGGGGCATAGTGGTGCACACCTATAATCCCAGTAGTTCCCAGTAGCTCAGGGGGCTGAGACAGGAAGATTGCTAGTTCAAAGCCAGCCTTAGCAACTTAGCAAGGTACTAAGCAACGTAGGGAGACCCTTTCTCTAAATAAATAAAATACAAAATTGGGTTGAGGATGTGGCTCATGGTTGAGTGGCCCTGAGTTCAACTCCCGATACCAAAAAAACAAAACAAAACAAAACTTGAAAAATCTCTAAAATATTAATATTCCAGAAAGGTAAATGTGATTATCACTTGTAATGCATAACAGTGCCTAATAAGAGAGTAGATGCTAAGGTTTTAAAAAATGATTTTTTGTAAATAAAATTATTTTACATACATCCTCCTCATTTCAAGGTTTGCTATTAAAAAGTAATTTAAACTCCAAATATTAGACATGTTTTTTGCCTTAGTTTTCTCCTTTTACATATTTTGATTGGCTTAATTTTATACCTTTAACTTATAAATTGCAGGACTTCCTGGGAAAAGTTTAGCTGCTCTTTCAACCCAGTATTTTGCTCTTCCATCAGTAACATCATTTTTACAAAGCAATTCTGCAATCTTCAACACAAGATCTTTTTGTGTTGGATTTAATTCCACTGAACGCTGATATCAGAAAAGAAACAATACATTAGTAAATAATAAATTATATGTATGTCATAAAAACATTAAAAAAGTTATCATTACATTCATTTAAATTTTTATTCCTAGATGACAACATGTTATTTCAAAGTCAATAAAATTAAAAGTGGCCTGGATATTTATGGAAATTAATCAAACAAAAAGTATGCTTTTATCAAGCAAATTTTAAAAACACATCACCAAAACATCATTTCTGACCATGCCAAAATTAAAATTTATAGATGTTAAATTAGTGTACTTTTAGCCAAAATAATTTTAAAGCTATTCCAAGATGGTAGGTACTATTGTATCAATTCTTATTTTCATGACATCATAAAATATCTATGAATTATTCATATTACAAATTGCTCTAGGCATCATGAAGTTTGGCTATACTATAATTACCTTATAACATTCAACAGCTTTGTCTGTGTTTTCTTCAGCTTCATAGAGAAGACCCAAAAATCTGTGAGCTTTGGGATCCCTCTCTTGCACATTAATATATGTAGATATGTATCTGTTTTACGATAGTAACACAAAAATATAAAAGTAAATAATCTCTAGATTTTTAAACTTAACATTTGTACTTAAGTGACAACTGAAGAATAAGTACATTCTAAACAAAAACAATAATTAAACTATTTTATTGTTAGTCAATTACTGACTCCGATTATTTACTCAAAGTGCAACATGCAGATAACTCAGAAGTATTCACATAAATAAATACTGAAAACAAACATATAGAGTTGACAAAATATTCATGTTACCATTGAATACCACATATGCCAAATGTTTTTTCTAGTGACTCCTACACATAAAAAATGAACAAATTGGGGGCTAGGGTTGTAGCTCTGTGGTAGAGTGCTTGCTTCCCACACATGAGGCCTTGGGTTCAATCCTTAGCACTCATTAAAAAATAAATGAATAAAAATAAAGACATTGTGTCCATCCACAACTAAAAATGAACAAATTGGGGCTGGGGTTGTGGCTCAATGGTACAGTGTGTGCCTTGCACATGTAAGGCACTGGGTTCAATCCGAAGCACCACATAAAAATAAATAAAGGTATTGTGTTCATCTACAACTAAAAAAATTTTTATAAAAATGAAAAAAATAAAATGAACAAATTGCTTTTTCTTCTTATCACATTTTGGTAACACACTGAAGAGTTCTACATATTAATAAGTCAATATAATGATAATTTTTAAAGTTCATGATAATATTTAACAACTACTACCAAACAACTAAGAAAATATATGTATCCTATAAACTAATAAAAAAACTAAGAGAATGTATGTACCTATAAACATGAAAATAATTTCTACTATACTCAGCTAAAACTGAACAGAAGAAAATTATCGGGCTGGGGATGTGGCTCAAGCGGTAGCGCGCTCGCCTGGCATGCATGCGGCCCGGGTTCGATCCTCAGCACCACATACCAACAAAGATGTTGTGTCCGCCGAGAACTAAAAAATAAATATTGGGGATTCTCTCTCTCTCTCTCTCTCTCTCTCCTCTCTCACTCTCTCTTATAAAAAAAAAAGATGCTATCCTTCCTCCATTGCATGCTTTAAAAATGTATAAAAAAAAGAAAAAAATAAAAATAAAAATAAAAAAAACAGAAAATTATCAACTATATTACCAAAGAGAAATAATTTCCATTTCTTAAATCAAGTTTAAAAGTAAGTATCTTCCAGGTTTCAGTAACAGTGTTACCATGAAAATTAAACCAACATGAAAACTAAGAGGATAAAGTCTCATATTAATAAGGAATAAGGGTTAATAGTCCCAATGCTGATACTACCATCTTCCTTTCTTATCAGCATTCTCTTCCCATCAATGCTTAACTAGCCTGCCTCCCAACTTCCTGGTTCCAGTTGCTCCACATTAGGAAATCAGAATCACAAAGTTTCTTTCACTATGGGTGGAAGAGAGTCTCAGAACACCACCTGAGTCAATTAAAGATTTTACACAAGCTCCTTTCCTGCTCTGTAATCAGAGTTTAATTTTGTATTCATTGCTGTTTTCCAACCAATTAAATACCAGCTATTTAACCAGGAAAAAAATAAAGACATTGACATGGTCCTCTTTTATTCTAACTCAAGACAAATTTTTAGAAAAGTATTTTAAGCCCAATGAATTCTTATCCTAGATATAAACACACAGCAGCCTGCAGGAGGTATTCTAGGCTCAAATGAGTGATGAATCTTCTTGTGGGAAACACCTAGATAAAAATATTGTGTTTACTAGTAGTTCTTCCTATTTCAAACCACATGAAGCATTAAGGCACTGATATTTGAAAATTAAAGTATGTTCTACAGTTTGGTACTTACTTTTTAGCAAGATCATATTCTTTAGCTTCGTAGTACAGCTTCGCAAAATAGAATCCTTTCATTGACTTCTAAAAAAAATTGAGTTGTTTTACTTTTCATATTTTTAATTTATTTTTTATTAGTTCTAATTACATGACATGACAACAGAAAGCTTTTCAATTCATTGTACACAAATGGAGCACAACTTTTCAAATCTCTGGTTGTACACAATGTAGAGTCACGCCACATGTGGAGTCATACATGTACCTAGGGTAATGATGTTCACCTCATTCCACCATCTTTCCTTCCTCTCTGCTCCCTCCCCATCCCTCCCTCCCCTTGACCTAATCAAAGTACCTCCATTCTCCCCACAGCACCCCCCACATTATGGATCAACATCCACTTATCAGAGAGAACATTCAGCCTTTTGGTTTTTGGGGATTGGCTTCCTCGCTTAGCATGATACTCTTCAACTCCATCCATTTACCTGGAAATGCCATAATTTTATTTTATTTTAATGCTGAGTAATATTCCATTATGTATATAACCACAGTTTCTTTATCCATTCATCTATTGAAGGGCATCTAGGTTGGTTCCAGTTTAGCTATTGTGAATTGTGCTTACTTTTCATATTTTTAAATATTGCACAATTTTTTCATAAGGCCAAATTTGCTCTCACAAGGTTAACATTATTTTTCTTCACATAAAAAGTTTTAAAAATTTCTTGATTTAAGAAATTAATTTCCATTACTTAGCAAACAAGCGCTTGCCTAACATGCCTGAAGTCCTAGCTTCAAACCCCAGTACCACACCAGAAAAAGAAAAAGGGAAAAAAAAAAGGATCATATCAGCCTTAGAAACCTTAGGAAAATGAGTACCTAGGCAACCTTCAGAAACTAACCTTGCTAGGGAAGGAGACATATACCAGAAACCACTTTTTCTACCATGTGTAATGCTCTAGGGAGAATAAGCAAATATTTCAGGTCCACTAAAGCACTAGAAAGTCTCTGGTCCATAGACTATTCTCTTAAGTATTTTATACTCAAGGAATCAAAAAGGCAGAAATAAAAACTGAATTTCTAGGGGAATAAACCAGGTCCACACCCTGGCTCTTTATTACCATAAACTCCAAAGTCTGGAATGCAGGTACACACATAATTATTTATGTTCTAGCCATATGTGATAAAGAGTACTCAACTGTCACACATCTTACTGTTTCAGACTATAAAGGCCAAGGGGAAAAAATGAAAGAAAAAAAAAAAGTCTACAGAATAACATGATTGTAAGTGTATGTTTTCAGTAGACATATATGAAACTACTAATTACTTCTGAATTACAAAATTATATTTAAGAACTTTTTTGTAGTTTTCTACAAGAAACTCCTATTACTCAAAATAGGTGTTGACACAGTGTGATTTCTGCCCAGTGCTCCCAATGTCAAATAAAAAAATGATGAAGACAATTAAATGGTAGGATAACTGATTCTTTTTCATCTAATTAGAGAAGCAAAATATTTCCTTTGTAAATTCCTACCCAATCTTTAAAGTCAATAAATACCTTTTCTAGAGGGTGTCATTAAAATTAATCAGTAATGAGGTTAAAATTCCAAAATGAATAAACTCACTGAACTGAGATACTACATGTTAAGTACAAACCCGAAACTTGCTAGCTTTGGCATCTACTTGAATTCTTACCATTTGACCTGGTCTTTTCTAGGAAAAACTGCATTTTTTTTTAGGAAAACAAAAATAGAAATATAGTCTAAGTTTCTTAAAATTTAGAACTTGTTCACAGGGCCTACAATTCACTAGACACTGATACAAGCACCAAGGAATTAGCAGAAAACAATAAGCCTCTGTCTTCATGATGCTTATATTTTAGGTGACAAATAAATATATGGAAGAGAGAAGTGCTACATTATTTTATCAATTTACAATATTTTACATTTTAAGAATCCAAAATCAGGGCTAGGGATATAGATCAGTTGGTAGATTGCTTGTCTCACACCCACAAGGCTCTGATTCAATCCCCAGCAAAACACACACACACACACACACACACACACACGAAAAAGAATCCAAAATCAGTATTCATTTCACAAATCACAGATGTTCTAACATTATGCCCATTTAGTTGGCAATGATTGTTCTTAGTTGATAATAATGATGAAGCATAAACAATGGCATCTAAAATACTAAAAGAGACCTTAAGATTTTCAGGAACTGTCTCATTGAACTGACATTAGATCAGAAACTTGAATAAAGCACAGAAATAGTTGTGCCAGGCTAAGTAAGCAGCAGTTGAACAATTTAATTAACCCCCATTATTTATTATATGATCTGTTTCTATCTTTCCTTCTTAAAAAATATGCAGTATAACACTCTTAAGTTACACCATGTTTGGGAAATATTTTTCTCTTGACTTCCAAGAAACCATGCTATCCTTCTGTTAGTGGTTGTTCCTCTCCAACTCCTTCAGTCTTACTCTCCCTACACTGACTGCCCCAAGGAGTTGGTCCTAAGTAAGTCCTCTTCCTCTTAGGAAATCTTATCTATGACATATGGTGGATCTGATCTATGACTACCGCCTCAATGTACTTTGGATTCTAAACTCGTATGCAAAATACAAAGACCATATCTATGGCTGTACCTCTACACACACACACACCAACCCACCCACTTTTCTACATTTCCACTGCTACTACCAAACTACTACTTTTTAAGGCTAATCTTCCTGTTCCCCTCCACATGTTCTTCCTCCCATCAAATTCAGTCTCCAGAGGTGGTATCATTTTAAAACACAAGACTGACTACACTATTCCTTACTTTCCATTACATTTTGAAAATACCCAAAATTTCTTTCTTTTCCTCCCCTTCCCCACCCCCAGCACAAAAGGCACACACACAACATGATACCTGCCTACCTCTTCAACTACATTTCTTTATCCATTGCATATTATAGTTCAGCCAGTGACTAAAACCAAGATGTCATCTCTCCAACTAGTATAGCACCAGGAGTCTTTATTTAAAACAAACACCAACAGTAGGTACTGACATATTGTGAATTCTGTCCAATACTCTCAATGTCCTGGTGAAGAATTCAACTTAAGTAAGCAAATAGCAAAGTATTATCCTCTAAAGGTAACTAAATGTCTCATCAAATGTCCTAATGAAACAAGAGCTCAGGGAATGGGCTTCAGAGAAAATGGCTGGGGGAAAAAGAAAAAAAAAATCATTTTGGGTGTGATTGTAATTTGGCATAAGGAAGAATTATGACAGGTTTAGAGTGAGTACAAAGCCCCAAGGTCACCTGCACCAAATACCTTACCTTTCTCCCTGCACAGGAGGAGATAAGGTTGGGTCCAGTGTGCCTGCCCAAAGGGCAACACAGGTGTCTAAGTAAAGCTCAGGAAAGAGAGAAAACTCTGGGGTAGCAGAAGGTTTAAGAGTCACTTTATCTTGATTTTTCAGCATAAATACAGACAATGAAAAGTGGAGCCTCATTTTGACCTTTTTGGATTAAAGTAAGAGGTGTCGAAACAGTTACAACCGAGTAAGAGGTGTCGAAACAGTTACAACCGATTCTGGGCAGCCAAATATTTTCACTTTTTGGTCCTTCCTAATTTACCTATCTTGGACTGTCTGCTCACTACAGCTGAGTCTAACTTCATGAAACAGGTTAGTTTTATCAGCTGCTGATGGGTGGATTCTTTCCATCTAATCCTTCACAGTTCAAGAGGAACTACAGGTAAGACATCTTGTGTATGAACTACTGAATCAAAATTAACATCAGTGGGTTCTGGCTGAATGCTTCTAAGAATTCCACCTCCACGGAACAACACAGCACATGGTGGAGCATTCAGTTGAATTTTGATAGTTGCCTTCCTATTCCCCTCTCTCACTAGCATAGGTCCCCTTCATTGTTATTTACCACATTTTCCTGAACTATTTCCTTCATAGAGTTGAATCAAGTCAATCATTTTATAATCTTTATGAGTGTGTTTGTCTGTCTCTGAAAACTGTAGGGTCCACTAGGATATGAACCCTGTGGCTTGGTCACCACAATAGCACCTAGAACATTATCTGTACTCAATATTTATTGGAATATACATAAAATTTATATAATCATGATTATTTCCTTCTGATAAATTCCTGGAAATTAGATAATTTAAAGAATAAAAATTTGAAGTTTTTCCTATATTGTCAATTCTCCATAAAATTTAGATCAATTTACTCTCCCTTCTTAATATTGGATACCTAAGGAAGAACATATATTCTTCAGAACTCTTTTTTTTTAACATTTCTTTAATCTTTGCTAATTTTAGTGGGCAAAAGAAGTGCAACTGAGGCAACATGGCATTTCACTGATTACTAAGACATTTTTTATATGAAGAATAGATACTTACAGTATAAATTCTCTATTAATGTACTTTATTCATTCTTGATTTTTTTTGTGTGGGGGGAGTACTAGGGATTGAACTCAGAGGCCCTCAACTACTGAGCCACATCCCCAGCCCTATTTTTTTATTTAGAGACAAGGTCTCACTGTGATGCTTAGAGTCGCGCTTTTGCCAGGCCTGGCTTTGAACTAGAGATCCTCCTGCCTCAGCCTCCTGAGCCCCCGGGATTACAGGCATGCACCACCGAGCCTACCTCATTCTCAATTTTAAGAAGGCATGGAGAAGATTATGTCACTGATTTTTTTGGGGGGAGGGCAGGGGTGCTTAATCACTGAGCCCCCATCCCCAGACCTTTTTTTAAAAATATCTTTTATTTATTGACAGGGTCTCATTGAATTGTTCATGGCCTAACAAAGTTGCTGAAGCTGTCTTTGAACTCGTGATCCTCCTGCCTCAGCCTCCCAAGCTGCTGGAATTACAAGCATGCGTCACCATGCCCAGCTACGTCACTAATTTTTAAGAGTTCCTAAACATACTAAAGCTTATGGCTTTTTTGCATTTTTCCCAGTTGTCATTTGTGTATGTTTAATATGTTTGTGAAATAGGATGTTGAAGAATATTTGCTGTTTAATCTCACCACTTATGTAGTAAGAAAGATCTTTCTCAATTGAGATCCATGAGACATTTATC